ATGTGTGTACTGTATTTTCCTGGTATCAATTGACTAATCATAGGCACATGAAGATTAATTCAGACACTGATATAAAAAGAGTTGAAAAGCTGTAAATGAGTGAAGAGGATGCAGTCTACATGGATACATCAGCAACCAGTTAACCAGTTTGATTCCTGGCCAGTCGCATCCCTTCTGGATGTCTTCCCCCTCTGTTTCTGTGCTACAAAAAATGAAGGCATTTTTATTATTATTTTTAATTATAAGAATAAAAAAGATGTTTATTTAATACCCTATTTTTTAAACTTTGTTTCTCTTTGCCCATTGCAGCCCAGAAGAATAGCTTCATGACTCCCAATGGTTTCACCATGTACATGTTGTCAAAGGAAAACTGTGTGTTTAACCCAGAACACGCTAGAGTTTACCAAGACATGGCACACCCACTGTCGCACTACTTCATCTCCTCGTCCCACAACACCTACCTCACTAAGGACCAGCTGACTGGGAGCAGCAGCACAGAGCCTTACATACGGTAACAGCAACAGGGCAGTGATTGCGAACTAGGCTGTGTGCAAATACATTTATTAATTTGGTAACCAAAGGCAGTATACTGTTATTATTGTAGGAGAGGTTTGTACTAAATTATTATACTTTAAATTGTCTCACAAAATTCTGAACAAGGTGAATTAGAATTTTTGTAAAAACCAATCATAACACACAAAATGCAGCAAGTACTTGTCAGTCCCCTATAAACAGCTGGATGGCGTTGTCTGGGCTGCCTAGCTAAGCCCACTGACATCATAACTCAGATTAAGATTGAGCGATTGAGATTGTGATCTGAAAGAATCTCTGTGAAACCCTAGAAAATCATTAAAGAGCAGTGGTGCTTACTTTTGTGCACACTCAGTGCAAGCTTGCATTAGACTGAGACTTAAACAAGACTTTTATATTAACTTTGTCATCAATCGGGCTTAACATTATGACCACTGACAAGTGAAGTGAATAAGACTGTCAAGACTATCACTTCATCCTGGGTGGCTGTAGCTTAGTAGGTAGAGCAGGTGGCCTGCTAATTTGAAGGTTGGTCTCTGGTTGCATGCCAAAGTGTCCTTGGACAAGATACTGACCTCAGAAATTCCCCAGATCTCAATCCAACTTTGGAATGTTCTAGACAAACAAGCCCAATCCATTGAGGCCACAACTGACAACTTGCAGGACTTAAACGATCTGTTGCTAAAATCTTGGTGCCAGATACTGCAACGTGTCTGCAGGGGTGCAATGGAGTCCTCAACAGGTCAGGACTTTTCTGTGAGCAAAGGGTATAAACACAATATTAGGCAGGTGGTCATAATGTTGGTGTGTATACCTCGGAATTTGGTACTGTTAACAAAAGTTACCATTGCCATATTGACAAATGAACCCACCACATGTACAAGTTTTAACTAGCTGGCTAACCAACCCCATGTTGGCAATTATACTTTAGTGTAGAAATGTTTGTACCATGGCATTGTTCAACATTATACATAAGTTAAAGTCATGGCTCATTACAGCTGGTGAGTTAATTTGGCAAGCCAGATAATTCCACTCACGCATACTTTTACTAAGTATAACCAGTGTTGG